AGGCAAAATGATGTTGTGATTACCAGGGAAAAGGTAGAAAAGGTTGTTAATAAAATGCCAAATTGGAAATCACCAGGACCTGACTTAGTTCAGGGCTTCTGGTTGAAAAGATTTACTAATCTGCATGGGAGAATTACATTGCAGCTCAACGAGTGCTTGAGGAAAGGAAATGTACCAAAATGGATGACTAGAGGAAGAACAGTTTTGATAGTCAAAGATCCACAAAAAGGAAGGGTGCCTAGTAATTATCGTCCAATAACGTGTCTCGCTATGTGCTGGAAATTGTTGACAGGAATATTGGCAGGTGAGATTTATTCTTTTATGGAGGCTAAGAATGTATTACCAGAAGAACAAAAGGGATCAAGGAAAGGATGTAGGGGGTGCTTAGACCAATTGTATATTGACAAGAAAATCATGAAGGAAGTGAAGCAAAGAAAGAAGAATATTGCAATGGGCTGGCTGGATTATAGAAAAGCTTATGATCTAATCCCACATTCATGGTTGAAGGAATGTTTGAACATGTTTGGAGCTGCAGAGAATGTAAAAAATTTGCTGACCAACAGTATGAAGGAATGGAGCACCATGTTGACATCTTGTGGGGAAGCGATTGGTGAGGTAAAATTTGCCAGAGGAATTTTCCAAGGAGACAGTTTATCACCATTAATGTTTGTGATTGCTATGATACCACTAACGTTAGTACTGCGTAAAATGAAAGCGTCCTATAAGTTCAGTTCAAATGGAGAGCAGATAAATCATTTAATGTTCATGGATGACATCAAACTTTATGCGAAGAATGAAAGTGGACTAGATGCATTGATACAGTCTGTCAGAGTTGTTAGTAATGATATAGGTATGGAATTTGGAGTAGAAAAATGTGCAGTGTTGGTTATGAAGCGAGGGAAAGTAGTCGAGTCTAATGGCATTGACTTACCAAATAAGGAAACCATTAGGTCTATACACGAGGAAAATGGTTATAAATACCTTGGAGTTATGGAAGCTGATCAAGTATTAGGTGAAAAGATGAAAGAAAGTCTAAAGAAAGAATATAAGAGAAGAGTGAAAAAGATACTGAAATCTAAGCTTAATGGAGGCAATATGATAACTGCCATAAACACTTGGGCTGTTTCAATGATGAGATACACGGCACCTTTCGTTGACTGGAGAAAGGATGAGCTGAAAGAAATAGATCGGGGTACTCGTAAAATGATGAATATGTACAGATCACTGCATCCAAGAGATAGTGTAGCAAGACTCTACCTACCCCGTAAAGAAGGAGGACGAGGACTTGTAGAAATTGAGGATTGTGTTCAGCTCGCAATTTTGGGGCTTGAAAACTATGTTCAGGATAGCAAAGAGAGGATATTGTCATCAGTGAGATGCGAGGCAGGAGAAAGAGTGTCAGAGAAAGATTTCAAGAAGCGAAGAAGAGAAGAGAGGCGATCAGAGCTAGAAGAAAAGGCGTTACATGGACAGTTTTTCAGGCAGACAAAAGAAATAAATGACCCAGAGTCATGATGGCTCCGGGACGGGGAATTGAAAAAGGAGACTGAAGGACTGATAATGGCGGCGCAGACCCAGTCATTGCGAACAAATGCAATTAAAGCAAACATCGATAAGACGCAGAGGGACTCGAAATGTAGAATGTGTAATCAGAAAGAGGAAACAATAAGCCACATTGTCAGTGAATGCCCAAAACTGGCACAGAGAGAGTATAAACGTAGACATGACTGTGTAGCGAAAGCCCTCCATTGGGATGTCTGTCGCCTGTATGACATAGATTGTGGAAATAAATGGTACGAACATCAACCAGATGGAGTGGTAGAAACAACAAATGTAAAGATTCTCTGGGATGTCAATATTCAAACAGACAATGAAATCCAGGCAAGGAGACCTGACATAGTGGTTGTCAATAAGAAAGAAAGGAAGTGTTACATCATTGATGTTGCAGTCCCGGGAGATGTGAGAAGAGCTGAAAAAGAGATAGAGAAAATCGAAAAGTATGACGAATTAAAGAGAGAAGTGGAAAGATTATGGAAAGTGAAAGCAAAAGTTATTCCTATTGTCTTGGGAGCCCTTGGAACAGTAACACGAAATTTGAGCAACTACATCAAGGAAATTGGAGTCAAGACGCAGATAAAACTAATACAAAAATCTGTACTTTTAGGAACTGCAAGAGTGTTGAGAAAAGTTCTCGAGATCTAAGATCATGGGTATTGATCCGATTTCAAGAAACATCAAGAACAAGCCAGTTATAACATCAGAACTGTGTACATCAGCATAATAATAATAATCTCTTTATTTACAGTTGGTTTGAGCAATAGTTAATAGACATAGATAATTATGTAAAACTAATTAATACCAACTATTTATATGCATGAAAAGAAAAAAGTGCAATATTAATCTACCTATTTACATATTTTACAGCTACATTTGTCTCCCTTCCAGGCATGAATGCCTTTTTTAATTTTGATACGTTTTCCACACTTTCTATCGTATCAGGCAAGGTGTTCCAGAGAGTGCTCCTCCAGAATACCAATGAGTTTATCCCAAATGATATCGTTTTGGTAGGCGGAAGTTGCAGCGTATTTTTTATTCGTAAATTACTAGTCAATTCCCTCTGTACGAAAAACTCTCTCATGAATGAGGGACTCTTATGATTTAATGATTTGTATATCTCTGTCATTAATTTTTGTAAATTTTTTCGTGTGGATGACTATTTCATTGTTCTTTGTGAGGAGACATTCAAAGGTGGATTCATAATCACAAAACAGCGCGCGTAGAGCACGTTTATGTACACAATTTATCTCCTTATTACATTGCTTTCCACAGAAAATCCAAATGAGAGGACAATAGTTGAAATTTGATAGCAGAAAGGAATTATTTGGTAATTTTGCCTTGCCTATATCTAGGGAGTTAGCCACCCTAGCAAATGCTTCACATTTTGATTTATCTTATGACATTTTGATATGTTGGTTAAATTAAAGGCCAGCATCGATTGTGACGCCTAGAAGTTTGACGCTGTTTGGTCAAGTTTGGTTCCAAGGAGCATCTTCTGGATTTTAGATGGATTAACTACCCTTCTGTTTGATTCAAACCATTTTAGAGCTTGACATAGATCTTCTTCTATGTCAATAATGATTCCATCCAAATCACTACCACAAGAGTAAATGGTATGGTCATCTGCGAAATTGCAAATTTCTGTACTTTGGATGAAATCAATCAAATCATTGACGTAAATGTTGAACAACAAACTTGTCTGTTTCTTGCCAATAGTTCGGTAAGTGTTGACAAAAATCAGTATGTTTTGAAAATAGCTTATTTCTGTAGTGCAACGATTCCTTCACCAAACTACCACCTAACATCTCCCTCCATGGCTTTCTATCCAAGGTACTGTTGTCCAAGGCATAACACAATTCCGGAATCGTTATGTACTCAAATTTTTATTAAAGCTCCGCAGCATATTTTTATAATTCATTTGATATCAATAAAATGTTCATGACAGTAAGATATTGACTATCAGGAGGCAGGGATCATTTCTATTAGGAAAGCAGAGCTTGGTACCTAAAAAAGTTTGTTTGAAGACACCGCCAGATTTAGGCAGGGGCCCGGACAATACGACCCATGCTCCTCAGAGTATCAACGTCGGATAACGGCTAACAACAAGCTTCTCATTTGTTCCTTGCTTATGAGCATTCAGTAACGGCTAACCCTTCAGGCTTTCACCTAGTTGAACAGTATGCTGTGAAAATAATTTATGATTTCACTTTAAGATTTTTGAGGAGAAAAATAATAGGCCACCAGAATTGAGTGGATGACGTAGATGTGATTGCTAATTGCTGGTTACTTTTATATTTTATGAAGTCACTTTTGAAAACATTTTATGACGTCACTTTTGAGTGGTAGTAAGCCTGTGGTGGTAAGCAAGGGTTGTGAATCAATGAAAACCACTCATCTCTAGAAAGATTCTTGTTTTGCACGATGTTAATGTTTAGCTAGAGGGCCTAGAGGGCAACAGAGTGAGTAGTGCTGTGTTTTTCGTTACACAAAGTAAAATTTGCCCAAGTTTGAGAAATTTAACACAGGAAAGCCAAGCCAGTTACAGAAAACAAATATCCTGAAATAAAACCAAATATTCAACATCTACCCCTTGTCTGACGTAAAGTAGACAAGATCTTTAAACAACCTGTACACATCATACCTGCACTGCAGATAAAGATAATATAATTGGGCTAAGCGTTTCGTTGCAGTTCTAAATATTGAAACCTTTTTATCTTTAGATGTATGCAATGCGACCCATATACAGGATGAGTACTCAGTTTCTTTAACTTTCATACTTACTATAATTCCTTGAAAGATTGCACTTTCTAAATAACAACTTTCTTAAGGCTAAACAACTTATTATAAGATATATAGCTGATTGATGTTCAGTTAGATAGAAATTGCAGATATTTGGTATAACTTATGAGAAAAAGAAATAAAAATGACTGTCTAAATAAAAAAATAAATAAATAGAAATATCTGCTGAAAAAGTAGGATTTGCTAGTAGATATTTTTGTTAGTTGTAACCTAAAATCATACCAATTCTTACAAAGTCAGCTTATTGCTGTAAGAACCAAATATTTGAATCAGCTTTGCAAAATGAACATAACCATCTTTTGCAAACTTAAAAGTTAAGAGATAGAATGAAAAAAGGTACTAGTTACTTCCTTCTTAATACTCTGGTACAGTTATCCTAAAACAAAATTTGGAAATTATCAGCTTTCCTTAGCTTCCTCCATTTCAAAACATAACTTTAGCACATACTTGCTGTACGTATCTAGTGGTAAAAAAGCAACACTATAGATCAATTGTAATACACTTCTTTGCCAAGATGTAAAAAAATCACAACTTTTCATAATTATTTTCTTGAGATTTTGACCTTATCAAATGATGTCTTGTCTTTTTTTATTTTATCTATATGCACATTTAGACATTGAAAAAACAACAAATGAAACATCATGTTTGTCACAGAGTCTTATTTATAATAAATATAAAATAGCACACATATTGCATGCAAGACATAGAACTTCTAAAGCTTACTTTTCATGAAATGTAAACATATAAACAGAATAACTATTACATCAACAAATTTCAGCTCAACTTAAAACATTTGACATTTTTGGTTTCATCAACATCGGATGCCACAAGATCATACAGTTACAAGGTAAATTATTCACTTTTATTAAAAGGACTCATCTGTCAAAAGCATAATAAATTTCATTATGCAAGAAGCTACCAATAGCTGTGACCAAACATTTACATCTAGTTTTGAATTATTTTTTCTGATTCACTGAGGGTACAAGATACTGATTTACTTTCTTATGATGCAATGATCTAATTTGTTAATTTGAAAATTACAAGTTGTATGACTTTGCATTTACATGTGCTTTTGCAATTTCAATGGAACTATAAGTTGGAAAAGGATAAAGACCTAGTTTTATTTGTGTGTTCATTGCAGTAGAAAATTCTAAGCTAATGTTCATAATTTATAACTCATCTTTATCATCTTTATCATCTTTATCATCCTTTGATCCTTCTTGCTGTTGGTCACCAGCACCTTGCTGGCCTCCTGCACCTTGGTAAAGCTTGCTGACGATTGGTGTGACTGTATCTTCTAATTCCTTCTTCTGTTCCTTGTATTCCTCAATACTAGCATCTTGATGGCTGTCTAACCATGAAATTGCTTTATCTACTGCCTTTGTTACTGTGTCTTTATCTTCACCAGACAATTTGCTTCCTAGCTTATCCTTATCGTTTATTTGGTTTTTGAGTGAATAAGCATAGCTTTCAAGTTCATTCCTAGATTCAACCTTTTCTTTAATCTTCTTATCGTCTTCAGCAAATTTCTCTGCATCTTGCACCATCCTCTCAATATCTTCAGGTGAAAGTCTGTTCTGATCATTGGTGATTGTAATCTTCTCTTTGTTGCCAGTTCCCTTATCTTCTGCAGTTACTCTAAGGATACCATTGACATCAATTTCAAATGTCACTTCGATTTGTGGAACACCTCTTGGAGCAGGAGGGATGCCATTTAGATCAAACTTGCCAAGCAAATGGTTGTCCTTTGTCATTGGTCTTTCACCTTCAAAAACTTGGATTGTGACAGTTTGTTGATTATCAGCTGCAGTTGAGAAAATCTGGGACTTCTTTGTTGGGACAACAGTGTTTCTGGCAATCAGCTTGGTCATCACTCCACCAACAGTCTCAATACCAAGGGTCAATGGACATACATCTAGCAAGACAAGATCACCAGTCTCTTCCTCTCCACTGAGAACACCAGCCTGGACAGCAGCACCATAGGCAACAGCTTCATCAGGATTGATTCCCCTGCTTGGTTCTTTACCATCAAAGAAACGTTTCACTAGGTCTTGAACTTTAGGGATACGTGTAGAACCACCAACAAGAACAATTTCATTTATTTCACTCTTTTTCATTCCAGAGTCATCAATAACTTGCTTGACAGGCTTCATTGTTGACTTGAAGAGATCGATATTCAGCTCCTCAAACTTGGCTCTTGTCAGAGTTTCGGAGAAATCCTCACCATCAAAGAGTGACTCAATTTCGACTCTGGTTTGATGCTGGGTACTAAGAGTACGCTTAGCCTTTTCAACTTCCCTCCTCAGCTTTTGCACAGCTCTGTTGTCTTTCCTGATGTCCTTACCCTTCTTCTTCTTGTAAAGCTTGATGAAATGTTCCATCACACGTTGATCAAAATCTTCACCACCAAGATGAGTGTCACCATTTGTTGCCACAACTTCAAAAACACCATTGTCAATTGTGAGAAGAGAAACATCAAAGGTACCACCACCAAGATCAAAGACAAGGATGTTCTTTTCCCCTTCTTTTTTGTCAAGGCCATAGGCGATAGCTGCTGCAGTTGGTTCATTGATGATCCTCATAACATTCAATCCTGCAATTACACCAGCATCCTTGGTTGCTTGTCTTTGTGCATCGTTGAAATAAGCGGGCACAGTGACAACAGCATGTGTGACTTTCTTGCCAAGATATGCTTCAGCAATATCCTGATTAACAGAAAAACACAAAAAATCACAATCAGCACAGAAAAATCTACTTCAACAACTTAGATTTTGTAAAATATAAATACATACATAGGCAGAAGTCAGTCTAAGCTGTCATCAAAGATATGCAGAAGTCTAACATGTTTTATCCATCATTCTCTCTGCCATATGTATATATGTAAAATCAGGGCAAATCGAACAAAACTTAAGATTAAAACAAAAAAATAGCAAGTTACTAGTTATTTCATTCTAGATACTCTGGTAAAGTGATCCTAAAACAGTTTTTGGAAATTATCACCTTTTTCATTCCCTCTTCCATCTATAAAACACAGACTAGCTGTAACAAATCAATCAGATTTAAAAAAATATCTTACATATGGATGATTTTTAATATACCAGAGGAAACAACATGCCATTTGGTTTATGTTCTGGCTGAATAAATTCAACTGCCTCCCATTAATGATATATTTTGTTCAACAAATTGAACAGCCCTTGATTACTATAACAAGGTTATTCTTATCCATCTCAAACATATATATATTTGCTATCATCATAAAAAACATACCCTCATCTTTGTAAGTACCATAGCACTAATTTCTTCTGCAGCAAATGACTTTTTTTCACCATTGACATCGACTACGATATGTGGCTTCTTGCTCTTTTCAACAACTTTAAATGGGAAATATTTTACATCATGCTGGACAGACTTGTCACTCCACTCCCTTCCAATCAAACGTTTGGCATCAAAAACAGTGTTTGTGGGGTTTGCTGTGAGCTGGTTCTTTGCAGCATCTCCAATCAGTCTTTCTCCTTCTGGGGTAAAGGCAACATATGACGGCGTGATTCGGTTTCCTTGATCATTTGGGATTATTTCAACCCTTCCATTTTTGTATACCCCGACTCTGTAGATGAAAATAAAAATATTAAAGAGAAAGCCCGTGATACTTGTGAAAAATGGTATAAAAAGTAGATTATTATCATTTCTGCTTCAAAGAACTTTAAAAGAGGCGTCAAATGAAGCCCTTTAATCAACAATGCTACAATGGTGAACTTCTTCCTCTCCACAGTGTAACTCGCAACGATAATTTTACTCTTACTTCTTCGCCTAAATAAAAATGTTGATTTTACTCTATTTTGAAAAAACCTGTCTCTGGCGTCTTTGGACCAATATTATATGTGACTGAATAAAATTCCGTGTAGATTTGTCTCTGTTGAAACAAAAGTAGGCCTAAGCCTAAGCACACAAGCAAAAATAAAAAACTCAAGTGTAGTGCAAACGCCGAAAGAAATAATGATTGATTCAACTCTGAAAAAGTTTTCTTGGTGATTTTATACAAACCCACAGATCTGCAAGAGAAAATACGAGTAAATCTACTTACACAGAGTAGGTTGTTCCTAAATCGATCCCCACAACTGTCCCAACACTGTCCTTCTTTTTCTCTTTCTCCTTGTCACCGAAGACAGAAAATGTGGCACAAGCCAGAAATAATATTGTTAAAGATGTCCTCATCTTAAAAATCAAAACCTATTTATTCGATAAGTGGAGCAGTTCTAGATACTACACGTACTTCCCAGCCAGTTTCGAGGTTAAATCGTAAAGGCCTATTTTCCTTCACGTTACTAAATACATGCATGCTCTTAGCGTGTTGGGATCTGATTGGCCAACATTTTGATATTTGGAGGCAAATGATTGGTTGAGGGGTCATTGGCCTCGTTTTGCTGCACCGAGTTCAAGTGAACTGATGTGTCGTTTTGTGGTGGATTCTCTTAGAAATTACCAGGGCTTTCGTCAGCTGAACGCACCATTTATGAATGTGGAAGAATTTGATTCGTCCGCATACGTCCAATGCCATTGTTAGCCACCTTTCGTCATTATTGCCTCTATTTTTAGCTATATTTTTGCATAAGGAAGACCAAGACTAATAACTCACACATAAATTATATTTGTGAATCAAGAAAAATTATTTTTGTTGTTACTAGCCTGAGGTTTTACGGATAATATTGTTTATATTCAAAACCGCTTTAAAATCTTGTAATAATATATTGAATCCCATATAATTGGCAGACTCTGTCTTATACGTAGACAGTTTTTCTTGAAAATATTGGTACTATCTATAAACTGAATTTTTGTCTGGTGTCATTATTGTGATGAGATTATTGTTTTGTAAAACTGAATGAAAGTCTTGAGGTGGTTGCCGAGAATGTACTAGCAGCAGGGGGTGTAGAACACTACAAGGGGTGCTAAGCCCCCCCCCCCCCCCCTACTTGATGCCGAAAATTGGCGAATTTCTAATTTTGCTATTGTTTTTCGCTATTGTTGATTGTTAACGAACATTTTGTGAGTCTGGTCTTCTGTGCAATAAAGAGGCTGGAACATGAAAACTATGGACTATTATGGCCTAATTTTTCTTTTAGTTTGGAGCTGACCTAACAAGATTGCCAACCACGCTTTCAAGTCACTTGAACCTAATAAACATCACACCCATATGGATACCTTGACTTGTCATCTACCTTTAATCGTTTTAAGGCGCAAACATTACGACCCCTTTTTCTCAATAGGCTGTACATATGACTCACTCAAAGCTGCAAGGTTTCTAACGCAATAAAGCAAAGACATAATTATCGCAATTTAAAAGCACAATAAATAAGAACTTTTGAAACAGATTTATTGTTGCCTAGCAAAACTTACAATGAATTGGTATAAAATCATAACATTTGTATATTCCGGAAACGAAAGTGCTTCAAATGAGATCTTAACCAACAAAGTAGCCCATTAGCAAGTTAAAGAGCAGGGAAACTATTGGAGTGGGGGAACTGGAGCCCAGCAGCACGCCATCTTCTACCAAGGATTAGCCTGTGCCCCTGTCCATAAATGCTGCCACATTTATGGACTATGCAATATTGATAGATATCCTGTCCGCAGCTTCCACTAGAATCTGGTGGTAATTTATGCAACCCTCCAAAATTATGCCATTTATTAAACTTTGCTCAAAGACTTCAAGCTCACCATCCACCATTTTATGTACGTCCTGTTTTGTTTCAGTGCAAATTTCTTCGAGAATTCTAATGCAAGATTTCGAAGGTTTCTTTGCATAAATCATTTTCATAAACTCGTCACAAACCTCTGCCTGGACCGGAAATTTATCGATATTGCAGAGTCCCCGATTAACGTGGCAGCATTTGCGAACTGGGGCCCAGGCTACCAAGGATCAGTAAAAAGAAATACTGAAAACATGTAGGAACATTTTCTAGATTAAATGTTGATTAAATACAATTTTGTGAGTCCTGGTCTTTGCGTGGTCCTTGTTTAAATATTTTTACGGGGCACCACCTTAAGCTATCATGTTTATTCTGAATCTCTGAGACTCTAAAGCCAAATGAATCAATATCACTGACTATTCAAACTACAGGTAAATCTAATCTATGAGTTTTATGTCAATGACGACCTTCTACTTCACCACTCACTAGCACGATGAAATTCCTCGGGAGGGGTAGGGTGATAACTTCAATTGGACGAGGACGGGAATGTGTCATTCTGAAATCTAAAAAATGACCAAAAATTTAAACTTTTCCAAAAACTCTATCCCAAAATTTAGATATGGGGTGAACCGCACACTCCTAAATTTAGTTCAAATTTGCAAAATTCCAACAAATCATCATGTTTGATTTTAAAAAATTGTTACCCCAAAATTCATTTTCTACATTTCCCAAAAAATTTGCACATCCTGTAAAAGCGTTTGTGGAAGTTAAGCCACACCCCCCCCCCCGGTAATCATCTTAATTCAGTTTCATTGATATACTTTATAAAATCTTACCATTAATAAATTTTTTAATTTGCACCAAAGGTAAGTTGGTGGTTTTACTTCTAAAAATTTCAATGATTTTCTTAACTAAGATTTTCAATGATTTTCAATCTTTTATTAAATCTATGATTAGCGATGTATTTTTGCCACGAGTTGGGCTCAGTTACTTATGTAACGTCTTTCAATAACAATTTCAGCTGATGCTTGAAATACTAAATGAAACTAATTTCTTACTTCCTTATTGAAGCAGCAATACTAGAGAACGGGAATTTTTGAAAGAAGATATGATTATGTTCTCTATTATGAACTTTAACCCTCATGCGGCAAAGAATGTAGACTGGCCCTCATGCGTTGGTTTTTTGGCCCGCACTCTTTTTAGGTTGGCAGTGCTCATTGACTTTATTTTACTGACGTTTTCAGGACCGGGGTCCTGGGGTAATTGCCCGAGCAACCCCCTGTGGCAGTCCTGGCTGTGACAGTTTCGATGTTTGTGTTCTCTTACAGCATTTATCGTCAAAGTGAGACCCAGTAGTATTACATGATAGAATCTAGTGCCGAAAATCCAACAAGTTCAACAAGCACTTGCTCTTGAAGGAGAAAATTCTCTGGAGCACAAAAGAAAAATTATAACCCTCTGGCAAGTCTTGGAACACTTTCTGTAAGGTTTTAAGGACAAATTAAGAAACCCCCTCCCCTTTGGAACAATTTTTGTTATTTAAAAAGACGCAGGAGATTACGATGTACTTATTCCTGATAATTGTATGATTTTTCTCCAAGCTATCAACATATTTGGAGAAAGGGGCTGGGCTCAGTGCCATTTTTAACATACCATATACTTACTAAGGGGAAGGGGGCGATAGACCGTATGCGTAATGAAGTCGCTAGATGATAGCGCGCAATGTATTGTGGTAGTTGAAGTAGCAAGCACCTCACGTCATACTCACTTTTAAAAAATGGAAATGAATATCAAGGAAAATGAATACATTTTCCAAGAAGACGGCAGCCTTGTTTTTTCAAAACTCATGACGGGGTATTAGTAAGTGGCGGCGCCAGCTACTGCGGAGCGGGGGGTTTCTGCGTGTGGCACGTAAGACCACCCCTTTTTGCCTCAATTCAGAGATTTTTGCACGGTGAATTCGCTAAGGCAAAAATATAATCTACCACTACCTAGCACTTTTTAGTGAATTTATAGAAAAAACATGTTGACCGTGTTTCGATTAGAAGGCGTGGTAAATACCCCATCCCCCTCCCCCATATCCCTTTGGCGCCGCAGCTGTTATGAGTAAACAGCAACCACTGAAGAAAGTAAATATGGCGAAGCTGGTACAGAAGACTCCCGTTGTAAACGGAGCTAAATTAACTATTGCATATTTTGCTATGTTTAGCTATGCAAGTTTGGGTCTAAATTTTATCCGACTTTAACCAAATGGAGTGTAACTTCAAGAGTAGTGACAATAAGCGGAGTTGACTGTAATTACGAAGCTAGCGGACCTACTTAACAGTTCTTATCTGTTACGAAACAAAATTATGTCAGTTTATACTGTATCTTCATATCTTCTTGGTGGTAATTTCCCGTTGTGTGTTAGTGGTATTGGCATGGATTACGTTTGTCACTAAAATTGTTTGACAAAGCGAGTTGCCCTATGTAGGGAATGAGAGAGTGCATTGAATTTAATCCACAAGATCCTAGATACTTCCATTCTTCTAATAATTGCGCTATTAACGCATTCCTTGAGGACAACAAGCATTTTTGTTTAAATATTTCGACATTACTCACTTTCAAAATGGTGTAAGCTTGATGAAAAAAATTTACATTTACCAAGGGTGTAATACTTGAGTATGAAAAAAGAAAGTTCAGTTGCTCAGCCGTTCCTAGAAGATAAGCATTCATTTTAACTATTTATTAATTTTCTTATTACGAAAAAAATAGAAAAATATATTAAAACAAAAATAGCTATTGGGTATAAAAATTATTGAATAAATGAGTGAATGAACAGAAGGAATATGAAAAAACTCTATAAAAGCTTTGCGGCTGCTCTCTGTTACAATTTGGGCAGGGTTTTTCTCATTATCTCTACTAGATACGTGTGGAAAAATTCTTAAAATCGTAATGTTCTTTAAAATCCCGCACTCTGTATGAAAAGAGCGATACACCCCATGGAAATGAATAATTATTGAATAAGTGAGGGAAGAGAGAAAACTTACAAGAAACATAATTCAGAGGTCTTTCTTCATAAGAAAACAATCTTGACCGTAAGTATAATACACAAGAATTTATGTAGACTTAAGCATATTATAAGGCATATATGCAGATTAAATGAATAGTGTTTAAGTGCATTCCCCTTGACAGCAAGTAGTTTGGCCTCAAGTCTTGAAACATCGAATCTTCAATGCTTCTTCATGCACCCACTTCCAAACTAAAAGGAAAAAATTCTAATACAAGCACATGTTTTGGAAAAACTTCAATTAGGGTCTAATAATCAAAGGATACGTTTTACTGCATGGTCGCAATAATTTATATATGGGAGAAATTAGCAAGAAATTTTAAGAATAAATAATTTGAAATCTGCAAGAAGTCAGAATCAGGCAAACTTCTAAAAATGTACAGTCAAGCTCAATTGATAAAAGAGGCATTACACTGAATATTACACAAAGCTCGATCTCGTTTCCACAAAAAACCCGGAATCATGAGCCCTGCCTATCACCATATTGCACATCCAGATCAAATTCTATCCAAAGATACCCCCCTTTTCCCTTTAAAAACTCTCCCTCGATTATGCCCTCAACCATACATGCCAACTTTTGCAGAAATAATTTTCCTCTATCATTAATCACATTTCTTGGATGCTTTCTTATGTTTTTATGTGCCTTCACCTTAGATTAAGCCCTCTCCTTGAAATAGCAAATTGTAACTTGAGAATTAACAAACAAATAACTCGAGATTCTAATTAATTTAGCTGCAGATGCAGGCACGACTAATTCCATGTTGCTACAAATTGAGGATTTTTGTTTACAGATTGGACTCAGGCAGGCTGTTGAGCGAAATTTAATTTAATTTTCTATTGCATTTTAACACGTATGGTTGCCAAAAGTACAAACAGTCGTTTGCTACGAAACAGAAGAGCAGGATTTAAGTCGGTAGATTTGTAAACCTGAACTGGAGATTTTGTCAACATAACATAAACACAAAGTAAACAGAGTGTGTCAAAGAAAATCAATTTTTATCATTTCCAAAGTCTTAAGCTATTGAGAGTTTAACTTTTTAATTGGTCTTGAGGTCCTTCAATATCAAAATTTCAATCTCAACAGCCAAACATCAGAAGAAAACTGATAAACAATATCAGGACAATGATAAACTGAAAAACATAGGTAATGTTCTGAAAGGACAAAAAGGCCATCTAAATTATGAACTGGTATCAAGAAAAATAAAGCACTAAGTGATCATTCCAGAATGAAAATGAGTTTCGTAAAAAACGTTAACTTGAAATTTTCCTTCCGAATAATTATAAATAGAACATAGCACCTAAATGTTAAGCAAGTGCTGTTATTGTTGGGTATCCAAGAACCGTCTGTGACTCCCTTGGAAAAAAAATCCATTTTTAGAATGAGAAGTTTTTTGTCATGTAATGATGCTTCGCCGGCAAAATTTTCAGAAATGTCGGCAAATATAGGATGGCTCACCAACTTTGTCGGCAAATGGAAACGTAGCACCCTGTTGAGCACAATAGTTATAGCGATTGTCTTGATGGTTCTGCTGCTTTTTGCTAATACTGCTTATTATTCACGGGAAAGAAATGATGCAGTAACATTCTAAATTTATCTTGAACTTACATTTCTCATCTCTATTCGTGAGATTTTAGCGAAATATTGCTTTACACCAGGTGGAGCCTCAGACATATAGCCTTCAGAAATCAACTTGGAAGCATCCACGTTTCCAAAGAGCATGCAACGCCCTGTTATGGTATCGAAATATATATTATTACATGCTTGGAGCAAGAAGCATTGCTCTACGCACTGAAACTCATGCCTGACACTTGCATCATAAAAAGCGTAGTCGCCGCAACACGAAGGTCCTGCTATGATCGGGAATCTGCTGTCGAAAAATGAATCCTTGATGTCGAGTGGACAAAAAGCTTCGGATGGTGAGTGCATAGCCACAAGTATAGCAATCAGTAAGCATTCCAAAGCCAAAGCATCACACATCCTGGGCCTCTCTGGCTCCAATCATCAAATTATTTAGCAGATGCTTCACGTGTATTAGCAATAAAATGATTTTGCTAATCTGACTTATTTTACTACTTTATGCTTCCATTGATTAAAACAGGAAGTTGGCTACTGAAACTCGTCTGCATTGGTTGTTTTTCTTTTTGCAAAAGCTAAATGCAAATATGGCCAAAGTACCCATTTTCCTTACACTCAAGGCAAATATTTGAAAGAGAATTGAAAAGAACTCTATTTGGTGTTTTATTTTGCAAACTCGATTTTGCAAGAAAAAGAACATCAATAACTACCTCCCGTGGCAGCTGCTTTCTAGCATCAGAAATCAGTCAGAATTCAGTGAAGTTACCTAAAGTGAAACGTGAGACTGGACGCAAGATTTTTATTTTCTTACTGCAAAGAGTTTTAATACACTACCCCCTGATACAAGAAGCGTAAAATATAGGACTGTTTTCAGGAAAGCATAAGAAAAACGTTGTAAATAAGCATAAACTATATGTTTGATTAATTTTATGAAACTTTAATGAAATTTATTCTTCATTTAACTTCAGGAAAAGAACTCTAGCTTTGACTGTGCATTTGTGAACTGATGGATATAACGGATCGATTCATTATTTTATTATTTTATCATTATGCTTTGATTCTCATGTAGAGAACTTTTTTACAATCAAAGTGGTGGAGAATGGGAATGTGAAATTACATGATAGTAACAAGGCAAGGCGTTTATAAGATTTGCACAGGACTTGGCAAGAGGCAGCAAGGTTCTAGAATTTTGTTTTTCTGTGATGTTGTTTACAATAAGCCTTACAATGAAAGTTGTAAGATATTTTTTTCACATAAAAGTATATTGAGTTAATGAGTGAGAGCAAATTGTAAATGAATTAAGTAAAAATAAGCAGCTTAAAGGACAAATGACACACTTTTCACCCTATCTTTTCTTTTCATTTACTAATAGATCATCATTTAGAAGTAGGTTTTTCCTGGTTTAGAACAAAAAATTGTAATCAGGGGGCGTAGGGGGCGCGATTTTCCTTTTTATCACGTGACCCTATGTCGTACATTGTGATAACTCGGAATTTTCCTGTCATCAATAGAGAGTTTACGAAACACGACGCGACAGGTCCAGACGAACTGAATTCGTTTAGAAGCGTGTTGTAAACGTTAATATTGCACTGTATACCAGTAGCAGCAATAACAAATTATCACAATCTACGTCACGGTATCACGTGATTCATTTCCCGCCATAATTTGAAAAGGGTTTTTAAGTAGGAAAATGAAATCAGAAAGGAAAAATATTTCAACAGCACTCTCATACAGCATTTTACTTTAAGTTAAAAGAAGAAAAAAATTTGGCGCCAAAAGTGTTTCACTTGTCCTTTAAAAAGCAACAATAAACAGCAGAAACACAGGCTTTTTGGATCATGAATCCTGAAAGACAGTTTGAAGTAAATTTTCTTCCATGAAGTTTGTTGGAAAACCAATGTCTTGTTTTTTTCTTCTAGCCTAATTCCCACTATAAAAATGTTGTCTTACTATAGAAAGAAATTCGATCTCTTGAGTATTTCACAAATTCTGGTATATATTCGCGACGGTCTCGAACCACATGGAGACAAGGTATTCTAACAGTGTCTTCTAATTTCTGCTAATCCTTGACTCCGTTGAAGCCAAGCCATAAAGTAATGAGGTTAATGATGACATTGTATTGCAATAATTTTTGGAATGGAAAGCGTTGGTAGCATGCTCGCTGCTATTGTACAGCTTGTGCTTTTAACTTTGTAGAAGTATCCAAATTGGAATTCTTTTAGGGTTTTATGCATTTTTGAAAATTTATGGGTTTTAAAATGCTTATTTGAGTATTGTAAAATCATACCTGTTCAATCATGTCTTCAAAAGCTAATCAAAATTTATGAATTGCCCTACATACTTTTTTGAACTTGCCAAATGAATTGGAAAGAGAGGCAACATTTGGCCTACTACCAACCAACATATCACATATCACGTTTTGCAGGTTGGTAACTAAACAGAGAGGTGATTTGACGATTTGTTTGTGAGCAATTTCGCTCAAATTTACATTAGTCAAAACATAAGCGTATATCGAAATATATTGCTTAATGGAAATGCTATAATCACAATATGGAAAATTGCTAACAAAAAAACAAAAACAATAAGCAATTTAGACCCCAGACAAGAAGCCTGAATTACCCCCTATTGTTGTAAAATTGACTTGCAAATGTTTTAAATTTGTTTTACAGCAAAGCCTACATTGCAGCAAAGAGAATCAAAGTAGCAAATAACCTTTAATCTGAGCTCCATAGAATTTTAGATTCTCAAATAGTGCATGGTTATCAAACATGTTAAATGTTTCTGTCAGACCTGCAAATGTTGTAGATATTAATTTCTTTTCACGGATGCTTCAATATTTATTTACAATCGGGTGAAGATATTTTTTGACTTTAAACTTGTTGTAAAGCTTGCTTAAAGCACTTATTCTATGTGACCTTTTATTTTTTGAAAAAAATTATAGTAAGGCTTCAAAATCGCAATAAAAAAACGCTTCAAAAATCTTAAAATGGAGAAAAGTAGATACCTGATGAAATTTTGAGCTACACAAACCCCGATTGATAGGAAGGTAAATCTGCCTTTCTTGCTGCCAAACCTACTAATGGCCCGACAAGGCAGAAATATGTCGCATGATACAGAGTACTGCTTTCCTTGCATGATTCTCTAACTGATGAAAAATTCTATCTAAATTATAATGTAACATACTAATACACTTAACTGCTTGTTTTGATTTCTCTAAATGAGCAGCCTTCGTCGATGGTTGTGCCCTTAGTGTGAGCTTTTGTAAAATTGCGCCTAACCGTGATAGTTTTTCTGAGAACAGTCATGGTTTTCTCTCTCTTGACAACAGCGAGAAACATGAAATAAGCCTTAAACTTTCTATATATTGAAATTTCTTTGTGATATCCTAAAGCAACTACTTTCTAACTGACCCAAATCTCGTTATAAGTAAAGCGAGGTAGGCATGAAATATGCGTGATGGTAAGATTTTTCCTTTATCTGGCATTTCCTCTGACTCATAGTTTCCCAGCTTTTGCGCATTTTTGTGTGAATAATATGGTGAATAATTAGGAGTGTTCAGATTTTCAAGCTGAGGCAGGCCCAACATCACCTGATTCTCATTCTTCAAAAGTGGCGCAAAATTTCCAAAAAGGGGCGCCAGACTTCCTTCAACTCGTCGAGGGAGGGGCAACAGCCCCTAGCTGCCCCCCCCCCTTAAATCCGCCACTGCAGGTGGAAATATATGCAAAACTTAACTTTGTGAATCCATTTGTAAACATTGTTGACATTGTCTTACTCTACTTCTACAAACCCAAAAGTGTTGTGTGCCAAAATTTAACTTTAGAAGTCACGTAATTTTGAGAACATTGATTTCAATTCTCCAAACCTAATTTTCTGCGTATAATAGTCTTCTTTATGCATTGAGTGTTGTTTGCTAAAGAATAAGTTTTAAAGTACTCTGAGTTACGTTGCTTAACACAAGGCCGTTCTTGCCAATCTAAAATCAACCAACGCCTTGCAAAATCCCCATGGTGTACCAGGGATAGTTGCAAATAGCCACTTCGATACTTCAAATAGCCGCTGATACAAAATCTTGTCTTGCCCAACAGAGAGAGCGACACAAGCCTACAAATATTTGAATTCAATTGCACATCCCCAATAGGTCTGAAGATTTCCGAAGTAGCTGCCCCACGATTCCCCAATAGTAAGCACTCTCGTCCACAAAGTTGTTTTGAAAACCATTTTAATTATGTCTATTAACTGTTTGTTTGTGTTGCTTTGGCAGGTTATGTTATAAATTATTTGCTAAGTAAATCATACAAAGATTCGATGCAAAAATAAGAGAGTGAACTATGTTGCTACGTTACTTTCCGACTCTGTAAATAGTTATTGGTCCAAACAGTTTAAAATGTTGAAGACATTACATCCAAAAGCATTGTCAGGCCAGTCAAATACCAAACTCGATTCGAAAGAGACTTGGGTAGCTTGAATCTCTGAATATTTAGATTCTCGCCAACTAAGATCTTGAAACAACAATACAAAATATACCAAAGGACTGGTTTTGTACCATAAGTCGATTTTTGGTGGGACAGTCGCTCAGAACAGTATAAAAAATGGTAGTCTTTAATAATTATTCAATTTCAATTTTAAAGGCGAGCATCGTTTTTCTTTAATAAGCCTATAAAATGACAATCTAGCTTCCACTAGCATCTCCGGATTGAAGGAGAACCTTGCCAGGATTCGTCTAAAATGAAATCAGGTATGAACTTACCATATCTCTAAACTGCCCCCTATCAAGGAGTGCGTGATAGGCATCTGAAGTCGTGACACGTTCAAAACACATCGAAGGCTCTTCTAGAAAACGCCAAAGAATGCAGTACTTGCTTTTAGTGTCGAAGTAAATTGAGTGGCACCCAGGGTGTTTGTAGCATGCTTCTATGCACTGATACTCAACTTTAGAAAATTGATCCATAATTATGCTTTCACTGCAGCTGTTTGCTGATCCATACCTTACAGGGGAGGCTTCAACCAGTGCCTTTCTTGCAGATTCAAAGTGGCATAACCTTGCTTCATGTAACGCAAAACAGCTTGCTGTCAGAATGAAGATTGCTGATGACACAAACATGGCTACGTGCTTGTTACTAGCTTTGAAGATCATCTAACTGTAAAACATCAGACTTTAAAACGCAGGATGCACAGCCACTTATAAAGCCTGGCAACGTCACTCTCAAAGGGCAAATATTTGATTCGATCAGCAGATGTCACGGTTTCTGAATCGAAGAAGCCTACCAGCTTGATATGCATTTTAGAAACGGAAATTGATAATTTCAAAATTTGCATTAGCGGAAAACTTCAAAATGGATATAAATCAACATTTGCAGTGTATTCCGTACTTTTTACAAAACATTTGCACTATTTTTCGAATTTCAAAAATTCTGCCCTGCTACTTGACAATTCAAACACTATGAAGAAAACATTGGAAAGTCTAGCAATTAGTAAACCTTATTCAAAGATCTAAATATTAAAACTGAAAATATAGCATCGTGTAGCATCAAGAATAGAAACAGGTGGATAGGATTTCATTAATTTTAAAGGATCCGTTGATAGAAAACGAATCTGAAAAACGAATTAAATACTAAATAGCTGCAACAAGCACAGGTATATGCGGTTACAATTGTGATCAGAGTTTTGTAAAAACACGCAGTCTAAAATTGGCTACATTAGCAATCCTTTCAAATCCGAATAATCTTCTTCTAAACATAATGAGACGTTGATTAACATTCATGTTAGTTTTGTTGCGTAGCTACGATAGATCTTTTACAAAAATCTAAATAACATGCGTCATATGTATCAGAAGCGTAATCAAATGATTTTTTTATATTTTGACTCATGCATTGCAATTAAATAAGGATTCCTGGCAAATATAAGCAAAGTTTAGTTTTCAAAAGACGTATATTGCAGAATAAGCATGTTGTATTTTTTCAAGTTTAAATCTCTTTCTTTCCATTCAAAAGAAAATGCCACTGAAAAAATTTCTTGCACTTGAAAGTGATTTTATTAAAGAGAAGTTTCAACTAATACTAAACTCCTTACAGAATTTTCTAGGTATTGCAAACTTTAGAATAAACGAGAAAATCTAATTATAATTTTGACACTGGCAGAAAGGCAGATCCATAAACCTTAAAATCACAAGGAAGGTTTTTGGCCAGAAAGTGAGGAAGCTTTTATGGACATAAGTATGATTCAATAACTAAATAGAAATAAATACTTAAAACAATAAAACATCATGCCAACTGGATTCAGATGTCGAGAATTTAATTGAAATTAAAGAAATGTAAGAAACAGACTTGATCAGACAATATTAGAAAGTAAAAAAGCACCCGATCAAAAAGCTAAAAGGAAATATTTGGCGTGTCCAGAAGATAGACTCCTGAAAAATAGTCGAGGATTCAAACGGAAGATTTGGACACGTCTATTCTGTCAAGAATCGGAAGATTTAGAACAATCAATTTGGATACGTCTATTCTTTCAAGAATTGTTGATATTTTGATAACTTGTAAAATAAAAAAGTATAAAAGCAAAAAACTTTGCCTCATACGCTCTAAATGAATTTGAAGACTTATGTTTATGCAGTGCTGTCAAAACGAAATTCATAATTTGGGAGGCTCCAGCCCCAAGGTCCATTTAGGGACCATGCACTCTTGATCCTACTTAAATGTTTAAGGCCGTACGTAATTTTGAGGGTGTAATTCTTTTTCCATGTATGATTCACGATTCTATTACAATACGTTGTACTCATTTTTCTTATAATTTCCACTTTATATGGACTTTGCCCCGGTTAAGCAGCAGAGACACATTCTTCCCCCATACTTGTTGCAGGCGCATAATACTTGAAAAATGCTCAGATTTATTGCAACATAACAGTAAATCCACATTGATACAACTATATTTACATACAAAATTAACAAAAACTTTTAAAAGCTGAACTTTAAATATGATGTAAAGAACTGAAAATAATTTTCGAATTCTTAGCCTCTATCTACATCAAAACGAATCTAATCTCTTTAAAAGCGAAGTTTCCATTTCTATGGCTAGCTGAAGCCCATTAAACCAAAAAAGCATCAGAAAGGTATATTTTCAAATCAGGTACTGTATTTCCTCTAATGAACGCCGCCCTCTGATAAACGCCGACCTCTATTGAACACCACACCTTCAGCCAACCAGTTGGAAAAAACGCCGCCCTCTGATAAACGCCACCCTCTGTTGAACGCCGCATCTTGAAAAGCGGCGTTCATTAGAAAACACACCAAGCAAGAAGTAAGGAATCGTTTAAACGCTTATTATTAGAAAGCCATGCAAGTTTTTATCTCATAGAGACGAGGACTCTGGCGGAAACAGGGATATTGACATTCCTTGACTTGACTTGACATTCTTTTTATCTTTTTTCGTCGCATTCTTCTTGTCATTTTTCATTTGACAAACTTTTCATTTTGTATTGAACGGCGCCCTCTGATCAACGCCGCCCTCTATTGAACGCCACACCCAAAATTTGGAGTTAGTAATAAACGCCGCGGCGTTCTTTAGAGGAAATGCGGTACCCATATTTATCGGTCCCCTGTATATAAAGGTCAGGTCACAGGTGACCATCCCCACCCAGCAATTTAATGACGTCATCACTTCTGCATTGTCAAATCATCTCCTCCACCTCGACTCCTTGTGATCTTACTAGGAAGGGAGACTCAAGCCAGCCCTTCCGGTCAGAAAGCAAATGAATAATCCGACTTTGAAAGAGTGATGTTTATAGATGTGAATAAGGAAGTGAAGTAGATGATGTTTTGAACATTTTTCTAGTTATAAGAAGCTATTTTAGTCTCAAGTTATTGATTCTCAAGTTATTGCCTTAGTTGGTGCTAAAATTTTGTATTTTGTCTATTAAAACAAGCTGTTGTGATGGTGGTGAGTCTTTTGTTCGAGAAGTATTTGCTGATGGCATTTATTGGATACTGTCGATTTTCGCAAGTTATAGGTAAGTTTTATTGGTACCTTGTTATAAACGACATTTGAAGTCTTCCTTATAGCTTATTTGAGCTACAAAACTCCCTGATCGATGCTTACTTTCCGAACTAAATTCAGTTAGGCCTCATTTACGAAATATGAAAAAAAACATTGATTTATATTGATTAAATCATTGCGAATTGAATCAATAAAAAAACATTAATTAAATCAATGTAAAAAAACGTTTGACAAAAGTGCCATTCGAAGAAATGAAGATGAAATAATTTAATTTTGATTTTGGAAGATAGAAGTTGGAGCAGTAAAAAACCGATGCCAGAAATGTGTATTGCCTGTCAAATTGCTGAGATCCAATATAATTTCCTTTTAGGTTGCAACAAAAGTCTTGGTATGGAAAGTGGTGCAATAAAGGACAGCCAAATCAGCAATGGGGGTGCTATCAGCGATAACAGACCTCAGCAATCTAGATATAATGTCGAGTCTGGATGGTGTACACGTGGTGGCTCTGATTATGACAACGGTGTTTTCAATCAAAATTATTACTTGCAAGTCGATCTTGGTGTTGATCATACAATTTCAGGTATTCTTCTACAAGGACTAAAGAATTCAAGTGTCTACTCATATGGAACCAAGATTAGAATACAGTGGAGGGACAATGCATCTACTGCTTTTGGATACTACAAAGACGGGGCTGGAAATGTGGTAAGAGATTAATATTCAGGTTCTTATAGAAAAGCATTGGGTTGGCCAGGTTGGAAAACATGTATGGTTTTGACTACATCTAGCTGCCAGCATTTTATAAGTTGTGAGCATACTATGAGCTAGGAGAAACTTGCATACTAAGTCATTTAAAAAGCTGAAAATGTCAAAAGCACAGATGAAATCTATGAGCAAAAATATATACATCTTTTTTAAATCTCATCTATAACAAGAACCATGCTGTTCTTCATACATTCTTCATACTAATATGTTTTTATGTTTGTTTATTCTTCATACTAATATGAAGAAGACATGTTTTTGTTTTGGTATTGCTGAATGCCTTCTTGAAAAGTGCATTCTTAGTTTTATTTTTGATATATTTACCACAATTTTCTACAGATTTGTCAATAAGTGAGTCTTTACATAGCATCAATATGTGTATATTTTCCTTCTAGGATCTTTTGACTCAAAATTTGAAAAATAACAAGGCAGAATTGTTGTCCTTTAATCCACCATTATGTGGACGATATCTGAGGTTGTTGCCTCTTTTCAATGCAAATCCAAAGTGTATAAGATTGGAAGTTCTTGGATGTTTAGGGTGCTCCTCTAATAAAATTTCAACCACCAAGCCTGTGACTAACATCAAACAATTAACCACAATTGTCCCGAGGTCATCAGTTTCCAGCACTGTGGATACACAACAGACAAATGCCAGTAAGTTTTCGAATAACTACTATATATTCATTTTCAAACAAATTTTCATATTAATAATAAAGTTGCCTTTATTTCCAATAGAGAGTCAAAAATTTGTAATAAAACATGATTAAATTGCTTATGGTTAATTTTGAAAGAAGCTAACAACAATTTTATTTCCATTGAATGTAAAGATCCAGCTTGCCAGGTCACTTTTGATATGCATTCTCTCAAACTTTGGTTTTTGTAAGGATAATGTATATTGATAAATCACTTTGTTTTTAAATGGCAAAAAAGTTATGATGTTGATAAATTACCTTTTCATTGATTCAATTAATTGATAAGACTAACTCAATTACAATACTAATTGTGTACGCAAAAATTAGGGTAAACTATGGATATGTGATTGTTTAAGTGATTATGGATAAAAGACAAAGGCAAGAGATGCAATGAAGTTCATTGTAACTCATTGATAATGGTCACAACAGAGCTCAAAAGACCCCAGCCCTAACCCTCCCTCCTCCTCTGAGGGAGTCAGTGAGTTGAATCGAATGATGAAATATAAAATGTTGGTGAAATGTCCAATAGCTAAGAAAATCAATGTTCAATGTTTCATTGATTTGCCCAACAATTTTAGTCATCTTCTGACTTTTGTTGTTGGTTTGCAGCAGAATTTTGCCTTGAGATTGCAAGGTTTTGGAACGGTAACCAGAAACCATGACAGCTACAGGTGATGCAAGGTTAAAATTGTGAGTAGGGTGACCAGGAACCTTGTTCATGCAAAGTTTGTATGTGTATATAACAGTGAGGGTTCTTGCAAGGCAGTTGATGGCACTGTATGTGATGGCCTTGTGTGTGCTGCAACATTTTCTTGTTATGAATTGCTGTCAACCTAGCATGAGCAACAGACTTTGGAAAGATTTTCTTCCAAACTTGAAAAATTATGGACAAAGTTGTTTGCATGATCCTGTGTGTATTCTAGCAAAGCGATGAACAGTGTTACTCAAACAATCTTTTGGTGTTACAAAACTTGAAAATGGCTTTGAAAAGAGCAAACATAGGAGTAAACTAAAGCTTTTCGTCTGATGCCCTTCAGAGTTTTAAACGTCAGAACATAGATCGAAAACTCTACCCTAGGAAGTATACATACCCAGTTGTGGATAGAAATAGGCCAATCAGAAAACGAACTCCTTTTGTCTACACAATAACAATTTTTTTGTGCCTATGTAGATAGATTCCAAAACTGCTAGATGAAACAACGATCAGGCTTTTTGATCAATAATCCGAAAGATGTCGCCATTATAGTTTTTTGCACAGTCTAGTTTTTCCAGTAAGTGCTGCCCCATAGCAGAATTGCAGGTTTTAGTTGTACTTTTAGATCTGGAAGACCGAGGTGGCTGTTCTCTTTAGGGATGAGTTTTGTTTCTAATACTAGATGGAACATGTTGTTTTATTCTATCCTCCAATCTTTGGGTAGTGCGTCTTACATAGCCAGAATCACAATGGATTCTGGCTATGTGATTCTGGCTACATAGAGATTCCAGTCCAGAGTCAGTTTCAAAACAAGGCCATACTTTGATTTGGTGTTATAAACAATTGCCAATGTTAAAAAATATACAATTATTAAAAAATTTACAATGTGAAAAATTTAACAATTTTGACTTACCAACTCAGACATTAGGCATGCTAGTTCTCTTGCAAGCTTGCTGACTTTGTCATTGATAGCTAAAATTGCTTCATTGTTTTTTATTCCAGCACCAACCATTGTTTCTTATGACCAAGAGAAGAATCCAAATTTGATGCTGATAATCATACCAGTTGTGGTTGTTATTGTTTTGGTGGTGATAGGAATAATTTTGTATTGGCGCAGATCAAAAATAAGCTCCTGTTTCCAGAGTCAACAAAGCACACCAAAAAATAAGTTTCATGTTAAAATTGAGGCTACATACTCCATGGTTAATCCCAAAGGTGTGTTTTCTCATGCTAACGTACCAAATACTTTATAAAATTTATATTTTGTTTATGTTCAAGGTTGTGATATGTTTAAAATTGTTTTTTCTCACTATGACTTTTTGCTGGCAAATTTTAAGAAGGGCAATATTAGTGTAAGGCTATCTTGCAATAGTGTTCCATAATACTTTGAGACTCCTGTATAAAAATTTGCTTACTGTGATCATTCTATAGGTTAATAAAATTGTGCTACTTATTTGTGTAAGAATTCAGGTTTTTTATATTCTTACTCATTTAATGCATCTTTTAAAACAACATTCATGTTCTTTCAAGAGGTGTCAAAATTTTTCCATAGTAATTTTCATGAATTAGTGATGTCCTCTTGAGACAAGTTTTTTACTCCTGGGCTTTTTCTAGACGAGCCAGAACGACTGTCTCTAGTTATGGTGGAAGATGCTGAAAGAGCAGCAGAAATAGGCGAACAGTTTGCCAGTTATAGTGAAGTTTATGCAGCACCAGTTATAGAGAAGTTTAGCAAATCAAACGGTAGGACGAACAATAACGCTGCTGTTATCCCTGATGCAGGTAATATCTATGAACCAACTGTTGAGTACTCTCAGCCTGATGATGATGGTTTCAGCTGTAATCGTGAGCCAATTTATGCTGGTTCACAGATATATGAGAACCCATATCAGGCTGTAACAGGCTCTAGTTTATACGCTGATCCTAGCATTATAGGTGAGCACACCATTGTTAGAATACCAGAATTTCCTCGACACCTGTTGAACTATGTAGAAAAAATTGGAGAGGGACAGTTTGGGGAAGTGCATATATGCGAGGTAGAGGATCTAGATGACGTCATTCAAAGCACTAAGAGATTCAGTTCCTCATTCGGAGCCCTGACGAAAGTTGCTGTGAAGACATTAAAAACCGGAATGGAAAAATCAGTTGAAAACGAATTTATGAAAGAGACAAATGTAATGGCTAGATTAGAGCACGTGAATGTTGTTCAGCTAATTGGGGTTTGCTACGATGAACCCAAGTGTATGGTAGTTGAATACATGGAGAATGGGGATTTATTGCAATTCTTGCAGCATGTTAGCCTTGGCAACTGCAATGCAAATGGAATCAGGACTAGTCAAATAACTGGAGATCTCCTAACAGACGAGTCTCTTTTTTACATTGCAAAGCAAGTGGCAGCAGGAATGGACTATCTTTCATCTAAGGGTATTGTACATCGTGATCTTGCAACTAGGAACTGTTTGGTTGGTAAAGCATTGACAGTGAAAATTGCTGATTTTGGGATGTCGCGCTACCTTTACTCAAAGCAGTATTACAGAATAGAGGGCAAGGCTACATTGCCAATCAGATGGATGGCGCCAGAATGTCTATACTTCGGTGAGATGCTTTTATTTGGATATTCCACTATCAAGCGTACACTCAATTTATTTTATGAGAAACTTTTTATTTTTTGAAAGGCGTGCTGGTAAATCAGAAAAAATTAAGAAACTTCAGTACTCGAAGGAAAAAAACAATTTAAAAAAATTGAATTGTGAAAAAGTCCAGAACTCAGAAAATTTGTAAAAATCGATCAACATGATTGGTTGGTTGACATAGAGATTTATACATAAAGAACAGTAATACACCTCCCTACATCTAATTACATCATTGCGAAGCGAATCTCTTGATACAAATGTCACAAGCATTTGAAAAATAGAAATATGACGAGTCTTATGGTTTGCAACTACGGAAATTCCTTGCGTGAAAAATTCAATATGAAGACCCAATGCTAAAATTTGAATCAGACTAAAACAATATATAAGTAAGCTCTGTCTCTCAAGTCTAGCTGCACAAACAGAGCACCAAGATTTACAATGTCGACAACGCCGAGGAAGCTTATTGTCTGCTACCAGCTCATTAAGGCTAAAAGTGCAATATAAGAAAAAACACTTACAAAACAACTGCAAAAATTATTGACACATACGAATTACAAGCTGGGTGCATTTTATACGGAATATCTTGGTTGGATTTTAAACTTTTAGAGTTATTTTGAATAAGGCAAACATTTTGAAACATACTAAAGCTCTTCGTCTGACATTTTCAGAGTGTAAAACTTCAGATCAAAGATCAAAATCTCTACGCTAGGAAATATATATAACCAGGTCTGGACTGTTGAGGTTGCTCAATCAGTACCAGTTGAGTTATAGGGTGGAACACCTTCTGTCTACACAATAGCAGGTTTTCTCACTTTAGATGGAACGACTATCTGCTTTGTTGTCGCTATAATTTTTAGCATGGTTTTCTAGTAAACGCCGCCGAACGTCGGATAGCGGAATTGTATATTTAAGTTATTGTTGTTGATCTGCAAGACCCAGGAGGCCGTTGCCTTTGGGAGGAGCTTTGTTTCCACTTTTGAAAGGGACATGCTATTTTATTCTATCCCTAAATCTTTGAGGCACTAATGATTTGTTCCAAGTAAAAACTCAACTCTGAACTTGACCAACTAAATCTATGTTCTGACGCTTTATACTTTGACGATTATCAGACGAAAAGGTTTAGTATGTTTCGAAATGTGTGGTTTTTTCAAAGTCATTTTTAGTTATTGTACCTCAACAATTTTTTTTAGAGCGTTTATTGTTCTGGGGACATTTAAAAGGTGGACGATACCGTGAAATTCCGAATATAAGTCCATGGCTTAAAACGGTTGAATCACCGTTTTAGGGGGTTGATATTTTGGAGGACTATATTCAGGGGGGCGGACTTCATTGGAATACAGTTTATATAGAAAAAAATGCAAAATCTGTTTTTTCAAGCCTGAGTGGGATGGAAATATGTCCCCGAGACAGTTAAAATCAAGCTGCAACCATTTTGGGTGAAGCAGCTGATGCAGCTAGAAAGGCCGGGCCTTTGGAATCGAGAAGAAGACCTTGGCATACCCTGTCTATATAATGATGCTGATAAGATGCGTTAGAAACTAATAGTAAAAATGCACATTCAAGATTAAACAATGTAACTGGTAGTTCTTGTACTTGATAAGCTCTTTTTTCTTAAAGTGACGTTGTATTGATTATTTCCAGGAAAGTTCACATCAATGACTGATGTTTGGGCATTTGGAGTGACAGTTTGGGAAATATTCATGTTCGCATCTGAACAGCCTTATCAATTGCTTTCGGACCAGCAAGTTATTGATAATGCACTGTCCATGCTTGAGGATTCCAGGAAGCAATTTAGATATCTCCCGAGACCAGATGCCTGCCCCGAAGACGTTTTTTCTCTTCTAATGAGATGCTGGGCAAAACAACCCAATGAAAGACCTTCTTTCGTAGAGCTTTTTGATTTTTTTAAAGAGCTTTCTGTAGACGTAGTTGAGGCCAATATTTAGGAGGGAGTACGTTGCTTGGTTATATAATTGTTCTCGTGTGTTGTTATTTGAAACCAGCATTTTTTAAAGACTCATTGCTAACAATGAACCTTTGCGACTGTGGCAAATTATCCAGGCGACAATCCAAACAATGGCAGTAAACTTCTACTGATTAACCATAATTGATTTCAGACTGTCTGAAAATGCATTATGGGATGCTTGCGTTGCGCAATGGCTTATTGTTAGCAATGAGTCTTTAAGTACCGCATCCTTAGGGTACATCTTTACTTCCAACATAGGTTGAAGACGTGTTGCATGTGTAGCTAAAACATCAAGCATTATGTTCAATGTTCATTTACAGAGTTCCCTTCCTTACTAACCAGTGTCAGTAGCATATGCTGTAATATACTCCATATTCAGGATCTGTAAACAATGTATACGCAAGATTTGTCACATTGCTGATGCGCGGACGAATATAAATATGCTCTAGTAGATGTTCTTTGTACACCTGAATATTACGGCCCGTTAGGCGTCTATTTACGTGTCAAGGAATATCTGCGTGATTATCGATTTGGCCCTATTTTATTGTCTTTTGGCGGGGTTATGCTACCTAGAAGATACCTACGTTCAAACACCCTGGAAAGATTTAATTTTTGTGGTATATTGTTCTGTATATTCTACCATGTCGAAAATAACCTTTCAAATGAATAACGAGGTAGGTGTTTTTATACAAACAAATAGAAATACTGCAATTTGGAGCATGCCAAGTTGAATCATATGCTGTTAAACAAAGCTGAGTATGTGAATGATTCAAAACTATTGTGAATTTACGGCATGTTGTTTTTATAGTAACGTATTTAGAAAAAGCTTGAAGCGTTAAAGGTTGTGTATAATATCAGTTTCAGTAGAATTGAGCAAAATTGTTCACATGTTAAGTAATAATTATTCTATCATTAATTAATTTGATCAAGATCAACTTGTTGCATCAGCACATTGATTTTGAGCCATATGTGTTTCTGATAACTTTATAATAATAACTCCTTCCAAAATTATCTGTTAGTGCAGAAAAGGAAGATATTCGGTTTTTGAAGGCTGCGACGAGTTCGTGGAAAGATACTGCAACGCCCACGGAATATTATGTTCGGATTAGCTTACTGGCTAGAAGAAGGGCGTGCTGTAATGTGTTTCTATCAATGCAATCCATGGTCGATTCTTCTTTTACAGAAAAAGGGGTTTACAGAAAAAAATTTTTAACTCAAAAACCCGATATCTTGAACTTTCGCTAAGACGAACTGATATTCTGACATTCGCACCTTTTTCAGTGAAGAACGATATAGGCACTGCTATTTCAGTATCTTTTATTCTTTTTTTATTTAGTTGTTGTTGTTGTTGTGGTTTACATAAAATCGTTTCTAAATAACTCGAACTAAACTTTTTTCTAATGTTCGAGTTAACGACGTTCTTGATTATCGAACATTCGATAATTCAAACCATTTCATTGATCCTTTTGAGGTTCGTTTGTTCAGATGTATACAAATTTTTTTAAATCAACGAATTTCTGTAAAAATGTAGTTCGTAGTTATTCGAAATTCTCAATAGTCAATTTTTTATTCATAAGCCGTTTTTTAAAAAAATATTTCTTATCACAGAAGCATTTTTTGCATTTTTGTAGGCTGCGTTTGTCAAACATAGCCATGGTCATTTTTCTTGTTGTTCTCTACTGGTTTGGTTATCATTTGTACAAAATTCCTTTACCAAATTTGTAATATGTAATATCAAAGTTATAATGTGAAAAAGGAGATTTTCGTAAAAATGCTTTTTTATCTGTCGTTGCCCTGCAGTAGGGAAAATAGCGTTTGGCCAGTCCTTAATTAATATAATTAATTCGTCCCATTTTGCAACTGAATCGTGATTAGACCAATGTACTTTGCTGGCTAGATTGATGCTACCTGACTATTATGGTTCAATGTATTTGTGATCTTGATGTTTTCTGTTGTGTATATGTAACGAAACGTGGACTCAAAAAGCATCGTCATCTGCAGCCAATGATAACAACAGGATATGAAGCAAAAGATCTGTAATAGCAACTGGGCGGCGTAAAGAAGTATTCATTGAAAAGAGGTCAGGAACATATAGTATGACTTTCTGGCAATATTTGTTTGATACTTAAACATCAACAGTCTATCTAGATACATTAGCACTAATAGAAGCTTTTTACTGTGTCCAACAAGAATTAAGAATAGCTTTAAAAAAGCAAACATTTTATAACATATAGGATATAACATAAAAGCCTTTTCGTCTGACACTCCTCAGAGCTGGGGCGCCGGAAGCATTTTGAGGCGGCGGGGGCAGCTACTCAAAAGGGCACATTTTCAATGACTATTATCAGCATTATAACAAAAAAAATGATATAACATGATACTTTGGTACCAATAAAATGTTTAATCTGAAAGTTTCCCATTCTGTTGTTTAGGCATTTGCTGAAGGGGAGGGGGGTACCTTTATAAGTTTGAAGGTAGAAGGACGTGCCATTTTTTAGGGGTACCTTTTTCTGAAAAGTGCAGAATTATTGGTATCAGTTTTTTAAATTTGTGCAGAACTATGGGTATCATTTTCATAAAATATTCCAAAATTATTAGGAGGGAGATTGAGCATTAACAAAATGAATGTCCAGTTAGAAATGAAAGTATGAAATATGTGCAATATTTCATTTTTGGCAAAGGATATGCAAAATTTGTTTGATGATTTTGCTGTGCTTTTAAAAATGTTATTTGCTTTGCGGAATTATGTGCATACTTTGCGTCATGTTTGCGGAATTATGGGTAACATTTTTTCAGACATGTGCGGAATTATGGGTCCAAATTTTTCAACCAAAATGGCATGTCTCAGTTCAAAATTAGGCTTAGTTAACTGTTGACTGTTGTGTCGTATCACGCTGCATTGTGCTAAAAGTACGTTGATGTGACGATGCTAAAAGTACGTTCTGCAGTTGCAGATGAAAGTGCAAATGAATTGTACAATTGCAATGACTTGTGAGCTATGGCAGGCAATCTTTATGGCATTCAATTGAAGTCATGATTTATCAAAGGGTTTCCATCTTTGTTACCTTCTTTATTGGTATGGCATCTTCTTTCTTATAAATTCTGATGACTTTGCTAAAGTTAATCTCATTTTTAAAAGCTTTTAGATTACTTCAATTGAGGCTTCTACTAGATAACTTGGATTAGTGTTACATATTGCATTAGTGTTTGACATTCTCTGGGCCCCATCTTAGTTTTCGCTTAGAACCCCAGATGCCTCAGTTACGCTACTCAACTTATTCTACAGTAATTTCCTAAATTTTAGAATGCTGCCGAAAGAAATAGCATTATTGCATGTAAGTTCATAACAAATGCACCCAATGTTTTAATTGCTTTCATTTTGTTACTAACCGCACTAATGTTTTATCTCACCAAAGAACTTGAAATTTTACATATTTATTCCATTCGCATAAACACAGTGCCATTTTCGAAAGGGCAAAGTGCTGCCCCCGCTGCCCCTATAGAGTCAGGGCAGGGGGGCAGCTGCCACCGCTACCCCCGTGCTTCCGGCGCCCCTGCCTCAGAACATTAAATGTCAGAATAAGGGTCCAAAAGAACACGATGAGAAATATATGCCCAGTTGTGGATCGAAATAGGCCAAACGCAAGCACAAGACCGGTATAGTTGAGTTGACCAATCAGTGCCGCGTGTCTAAAGAAAAATTACTACTGGAGTCCAAGCGAGAAAGCAAACTCCTTCTGTCTACACAATGGCGGCTTTTTTGTTTTTATGTAGATCGATTCCAAAACTGCAAGATGAAAAGACAACCGGGCTCTGCCAATTAACCTAAACATGTCGTCATCATAGAGTTTAGCACAATCTGGGTTATCTAAAAGATGTTGACCGATGCAGGAGCGGATCCAGACTATAGCAACTGTAGCTCGAGCTATAGTCAAAATCTCTGTGTTTGATTTATTGAATTCAAAGTTAAGTGTTAATTTTTCCTCTCAACATTTGAAAGCAGCGGTATAGGTTATCAAATGCGATTAACAAACATGCAATGCTGGCAATGTGTCATCACAATGCCTCTCGAGATAAGATATTAAAACTTAGACGAATCAGAAGTTTCGTTCTTTGTTGACAGTAACCAACCAGAATTGAGCGACAATGGATATTCCGAGCTAAAGTCGGTCTGGGGATTTGCTCTGGAAAAGGCATCGAAGACAATGAAACCCGTACTATAATTTTTGGCGCGAGCTATAGTGAAGCTATAGTCAGGTTTGAAAATGGCCTTTTAACCAATAGAATATGAGTATCCACGGTACTTCTCCGCTCTCTGTCCCCTGTAAAGCAACAGTGGACTATAGCTCGTTTTCACATCCTGTGTCCCCTGTAATGTAGCTTCAAAGGCAAGGACCTACTAGGGAATAGACAGGGACGGCGGAACGACCAAGCGGCAACAGGGGGGGGGGGGTGCAGGCTTTAGTAAAAGGGCTTTTGAAAGATAATTTTCAGCTTCTAAAAGTTCATACGTAACCGCATACTACCTTCAACATTGGCTAACTTTCGGCATAAGGAATTATTTTACATGTTTTGAGAAGTTCAGAAATTTTATGAATCTCTCTGATTATTACAATTGGCCAGTTTCAAAGGAACTTTATTAAAAACAACCCTTGCCCCTTCTGTCAAAGGGCAACAGGGGCGGTTGTACCCCCACACCCCCTTATCTGGCGTCCCTGGAAATAGAAGAAGGATTCTCGAAGGAATATTTATGAATACGAAGCAACTATAAACACACATGTTTATGTCATTTGCCCATATAGTGGGTGTGTCCCACAAGTAAGGAGGGCGTGGTCCTGATCCCAAAAGATTTGAGCTATAGTCACCAAAAAACCTGGATCCGCCCCTGCGATGGCAGAATCATTGTTTTAACAGCGTATCTAGACCTACAAGATCGAGGAGGCTGCTCTCTTTGGGCAGTTATTCTATCAATTAAGAACTTAAGAATTAAAAATTAAAGAAATTGCTTGTCATGAATATCATTCTACTGATAACAATGTTGATAATATCACCATAAAGACCTAGAGGCAGCTTGTACTTTTTACTCGTCACCTCAGCGTTATCTCTTAAATGAACATTTATTGTGACAGAACTATTGAATAATTGACTGAGTACCCTAAAAGAAAAGACCAATGAAGGAAATTTTACGTTTAACCAACCATTCAACAATTTAAAGTATTCTTTACACACGAAAATTGACGTTTATGTGGGTTTGCTTTTGCAGTAACTAATGCTGTTTTTCTCGTTTAGGCTAAACTTATAATTTGTTTGTTTTCATTTTTCAAGCCCTGGTTTAACACATTTGTGTTTTGAGTAAACAACGCTCGAATTTTTTTGAAAATTGGAATTTTGTTTTGCCACTTCATTGAGCGTCGAATGGCCGTGTATAGACATATGTAGTGAATTTTGATCACGGTCAACGAAGACGAGCGGATGTCGACCTTGTACAGTTTGCGCATGAGCAGTTGCTTAACTAAAAATGAACAAGAACAACAAACCAAAATTCATACGAGCAATTTAGAGATGTGAGGATTGAAAGGAAAATAAAAAAGAAATCAATGTACATCAGCTCTAGCAGAAGGAAGTTCTTTGCGCAGAAAACAATTCCAAAAATGGAAAATTTCAAGGCTTGCAGAGCGCATGTTTTTTTGAACTGCCACCGAAAGATCAGGCTGCAAAAGCAGCTGAACAAAAGATAAAAAAGAAACGGGAAAGCTGTTGTAAACCAGATAAAAATTTCAAGGATACACGAACATATTTGAAATCAACTCAATTTTATGAAGGCAGGACCTTTCTTGGAGAGACTTTTGACAAGAAATATACAAGGAATGACAAGACAAACGAGCCTTCCGCAAAACAGGTTGAGTATTTAACTTGATGCGGATCAACCTAATTTGTTTAAATTCAGTCTCCGCTTGTGATTTAGAAGCCCATTTGGCGCGAAGTAGTCTTCTCGCCATAATTTTGAGACTGAGGTTAATTGTCCCCCTAACAGAGCTTGTAATGCCCTTAAAATACAAAGTCGATTGAAGGTCGAGAGCTTTAAGCCACATCTCTTCAAATTGCTATACATTCGCTCGACTTGGCAGCAAAATGTCGAGAGTTTGCCGCAGCTTTACTTTACTTCTAACAAAATACAGAAAAATAGGTTGTCTCTGTTTCAGAAATTTGTTTTCATGTGCAAATTTTATATCGTAATCAAGGTTTTACGATGCCTATTTAAACAAGTGACAAATTCTCGAGTGAAATCGAAGAATGGTTCTTTACTTTGATGACAGAATCAAATACTTAATTGCTGCAAAGCTATTACAATTACAATGCTGCAAATACAATTTCAAAGGGGCCTCAGTTTGAACGTAAGAATAAAAAGAGTGCTTTCGACCAGCGGTCGCGTGATCGCGCAATTTGCCAGCCCTACCTCCTTGTTGCTTGCTACTGACAGCTTTATGATTGACCTTGACCACTTTTGGGTCTCCTTGGCCTCTTCTGTAAGTTGTTCAAAACTACCAGCACATTCAAGTAGACCAAAACAAAACGAATACGACAATCAAACAAAACCAGCCTGATTGCACGACACCGGACAGGACTCAGTTGAGGTTTATCAGGCAAATATCAAAGAAATTGCTGAATCAACCAAATTAATGGACGAGTAAGGGAAACCGATCAAAATACTGCTTACTTTGATAAAAAACCCTACAGTTCTAATGGGGAACAGTTTAAATCCAACTCCAATATAATCAAGTGCTGATTAGCAGGTAGTTAAAAATACTTGAAAGTAAAAAATTATTTTATCACAAAGGTACTATTCTAATTAAGCAGAATACACGGTTATTGATTCTTCAAAAGTTTCTGCTACCTCGGGCTATCCGGCATCTTGGATTTGAATATATCATCAATAAATTGATCTGAGCTTGTGCTCGCTACATCTGAAAACGATAAAGAGAGGTAAGGTAATGAGAGCTGCTGCTAATTAACGCAGCGTGTTGCTGCTGGTACATGAGAGCATATGCTGCATCCTCAAGAATTTTGTATTGTAAGATAAATACACGAAATCATGTTAACTGAAGCAATGCAGTTCACTCTTCAGCAAGCAACTTGCTTTTTTGGCATTCAAGAGTGCATGATGCTAGAGCAGTATACTTGACAGGTTTTGAAACCAGATTTAACACGTATGTGCATAGTCAAAAACAATAGCAGACAAAAATAAGAAAAAGATAGAAGACTAATCACTCACTTCATCACAAGCAACAATACTTTACTTCTTCAAAACAATACTTCCGTCTCAAAAAAAGGAAATCTTACCTACTCAGGGGCTTGATTTCCCTTTCCCGTATTCTTCCTCGTAAAACTTCTTCCAGGGGCGGGAAGGATTAAAAAAAACTTTCCTTTGAAGATTATGACTGAAATCAGCACTGGCTGTAGCTCTTCCGAAATCGTCATCATGAGCGACCTCTTCTGACATTGCTTCTGTAATATCGTCAGTTATATCCATAAAATGTTTGGTGCCGGCGTTTTCTTGTAATTTTTCACAGAGATGTTTTATAAACCAAGATCCTGAAATGCTGCTCACGGCTGCTTTACCTAAACAAAAGCAGAACAAACACTGTACAGCAGAAATAATTCACACCTGCGTAGATAAAAATGCACGAGAAAAGACGGCGAGCAATTATTCGCTTGAATTCAAATGCGTCCAACATAAGCTAGAAAAAGGAACAATTTATCTTTAATTAAACTTCTGTAAACAAAACGGAAGAATTCTACTAGTTTTCTCTAGCTATCGCTACTTTTCTATTGGCAGAAGCTTCATCATGACTAAGATATACTAATAGTTTATAATATGCATCAAAAGCTTCGAGTATTGAGCCTATGATTCTAGAAGCTATCAGCATTTTACTATTGGCTGAAACTTCATCATAAGGAAATATACTAATAGTTTATAACATGTATGAATAGCCACGAGTATTGGGTCTATGATTATAGTAGCTATCAGTACTTTGATATTGGCAGAAATTCATCATTAGGAATATATACTAATTGCTTATAATATGTATCAATAACTGAATATTGGGCCTACGATTTTAGTAGCTATCAGTACTTTCCTACTGACTGAAAATACATCATGATAACAATAATATAACATTTATAATAACTTTATTCCAGTATCAGATTGATCTAGCATTTCTGCTAATTGAGGACGCTATTTACATACAATTTATTAAAAAAACGTAATCATTAAAAAGTAATATATTAAGGTGGAAATTTCAAGAAAAGTTACAGAGCCTACAATGTTCATTGCATGAGTTGTCTTTAAGTAAGACCTCAAGGTCCTTTTTCTAATACAGTTACGGAAGTTATCAATACTTGAACTGGTCCTTTCTTTTTCATTTAATTTAGTCCATACACGAGGTCCTAGGTACCTCAACGAATGTTTCCATACTTAACTGTCTTATATATAGGAATTGTAAAGTCTGCATTTCTTAGATCATATCTTTTGTTGGGTATTTCAAATAAGTCATTAATGTACTTTGAACATCATGATGGCAATATTTTGTAATCTTCGATTATCAAGCGTTTGTGGCTTTGCGTGTCTTAATAGTCCTTCATATGAGCTATTCTTGTCACAAAAGACTACTCTAAGTGCTCTCTCTTGAACTCTTTCAAGCTTACGGTTGTGTGCCGCTTTACAAAAGTGCCAAACAATATCACAATAGGTTAGGTGTGGTAATATAGCTGTTTTGTACAGAATCAATTTAGGTTCAGTGGGTATAAGATTACGGAGTCTGAATATTACTCCAACTCTCTGGTTCACCTTTGTACACACATTCCTTATATGCTCAGTGAAGCTCAGTTTGTCATCGATGGTAACCCCTAACAACTTCATTGAGCTGGTTTGTTCTATGTCTATTTCATTAACTTTCACCACAATTTCTTTATCATTTGCTTTGTTTTCCTTGATAACCATTGCTTGATATTTATCTTTATTGCCAATTGAGAAGTTGTCTTGATACCATTTCGATGCATTTTCTACATCACTGTTCAGTTCTCTTTCCACGTTTTGAATGGATTGTCTAGACAAAAACAGCTGATGATCGTCTACATACATGCTTATTGTATAGTTTTTTATTTTATATGTCATGTCATTTTGGAATATGTTCCATAGCAATGGACCAAATGATGAGCTTTGTGGGCAACCTCTTTTTGATTCTATCCAGTCACTTCTGATGTTCCCTATCTTTACACGATTTAGTCTATTCTCAAAGTAGGATCTTAAAAGCATTAGTGCATTTTCAGAGAAACCATAGCTTTCAAGTTTTTCAGGAGTAAAGGTGGATGCATCGAATCAAATGCTTTGCTCATATCAGTGGCAAGTATGCCCACGATTTCTTTCTTATCAAGAGCTGCCTTCCAACTTTCAATTAGCATAATTAATGTTGTTTCCGTACTGTTACCTTCCCTGTAGGCTGTCAGATAGCAACTTAAATCTCCTTCAATCCTCTTGCTTGTTTGTGATGTTATCAGTTGCTCAAAAACCTTATCTATTGTAGATAGTGTTGTTACTGGCCTATAATTTTTCTTTTCATACAATTTATCTTTTTTTAATGCTAGTGTCTATTCATCCTTTTTCCGGTCACTTGGCCATTTACATGTGCTTATGCAAAAGTTGTACAAGTTTGTTCAAGATGGTGTTATTGCTTTTACTGGAAACTAAATAATATTCGGAGGCATTCTGTGCCATCCAATAGACTTTTTTCAGATCAACCTTTTTTAAGGTATTTTATACTTCAGCTTCAGTTAAGGCTTGATACTTAAAAGGCTCTCTGTCCTCTAAATGCCCTTTTATTTGCAAGAAATTTTCATGCCTAGTAAGCTCAGCCTCTGTTACCTGAACTGTTGTACCTTCTAGGTCAGCCATATTTGAAAATACTTTGCAAATTCATCTGTAACCGTTCTCTTGTCTTCCTCTATTTTGCCATCTACCTCCAGCCTTATCATGCTGTTCTTAGCTTTATTGCCCTTTGATCCCAGGAATGGTTTAAACACATTGAAAAACTCTCTACGTTTATTATGCATTTCTGTGGTCTTTTGTTGCCAGTATTCTTTGACTGCTTTGCATCTTTCTTTCGTAACTTCATTTCGCCATTTTTTCTTCATCTCGAAAGTTTCCTGTGTTCTTTTGTTTGAGAATATCATTACGTACTTGCTTTTATTCCTAAGCGCCTTTTTCCACTGCAGTGTCATAAAGGGCACATCCTTCTCTCGAACTCGCATTTTCTTGACAGGAGCGTGATCATTTAAGACATCCTGGACCATTGCTTCCCAGAAGTAGTATCGATCATCAGCAAAATAAAAAATCTCTCCAATATACCATGGTAAATATTCAAGGTCTTGCAAGAACTTTTTTTCCCAAATCCCCCTTTACTTCTGAAGGTTATTATCTTTCTCTCATAAGTATGGGTCTTTTTCTTCATAACTTAACCCATAAATCATGCAGTGGTCACTAAGGCTTGGATCAAATGAGAAATATAAACTAAAAAGTTACAATATGTACCACTATCTAGGAGCATTCGACTAAAATTTCTTGACACTATCTCAATTATCTTCATTTGCTTTGATTTGTGTTACTTACAGTAATGACTACAGTTTATTTCGATACTTTTACAACCTCATGCTTCTAAAAATCTGTAAGTATAACTCCTCAAATATAACTGAATATGGAACGAAGTCATTTGACCTTCAAGGCTAGGCTTGCAAATAAATTAAACGCACTGGCGAAAATCTTGGAACATCGAAAACATTTTTTTCATTCACATAAGCAGTCTTCCCTTTCCCTTTTCAAAAATGTTGGATTATTCTCCATAGAAATACACTCAACGTTTTCAAAAATGTTGGATTATTCTCCATAGAAATACACTCTTCGAATTTAACTGATTTGTTAGAAACAAGAAAGAATGAGCTGTATTTCCAATATTGATTTGTGGGGAAGGAGGGAACATAGCTAATACTATAGGGGTGAATTGAAAGTAGATCGAGAATGCTATACCAACACATCAAAGTACTTTAGGCAAGCATTCTAGATAAGCCGAGCCACAACACAAGCTATACTAACCTTTAACGGATGACATGGCAAATACGAAATTGAGATCTTCAGGTGCAGTCTTAGATGATTTCCGATCTGCAATCAAGATCCATTTGCACAATAACATAAATCATAGAAATACATAAAATAACAGAAAAGCTGAGCAAAGTAAAGCTTATCTCGTCTCATGCGAATTTGTGTGAATCTAAGGAATGGAGAGTTGTTTCTACCCATCAGAATAAAACATATATTTTTCAAAGAGCAATGGGATAATTCAAATTGGACAGATTTTTTAACAACAGAAGCTACCAAAATTGTATTCACAAAAACAGCTATGCAACTAACAACGGAGTCTATTTAGGAAAAAATCTCTTCTGCCAACTTTTCTGCTTCCAGTCACTTACTATTAGCACTGAAAATATTGCCTTGTCAATACCTTCCTTTGCTTGAATGAAAAATTATGCGGCTATTATGATGGAATCAGTACTTAGAATTGACAAAATGACAAAAATGCTTTATTTGCAATCCCGATGCTTCACATATCTAAAACTCTGATGAATGAAAAGAATTATATAGAAATAGACATAAAAATAAACATTCACATAGACACAGACACAGACATAAAAATAAACACAGACATAGACATAGACATAAAAATAAAACATAGACAGAGACATAAAAATAAACATAGACATAGACATAAAAATAAACATAGACAGAGACATGAAAATAAACATAGACATAGACACAGACATAGAGATAGACATAAAAATAAACATTCACATAGACACAGACACAGACATAAAAATAAACACAGACATAGACATAGACATAAAAATAAAACATAGACAGAGACATAAAAATAAACATAGACATAGACATAAAAATTAACATAGACAGAGACATAAAAATAAACATAGACATAGACACAGACATAGAGATAGACATAAAAATAAACATAGACATAGACACAGACACAGACATAAAAATAAACACAGACATAGACATAGACATAAAAATAAAACATAGACAGAGACATAAAAATAAACATAGACATAGATACAGACATAAAAATAAAACATAGACATAGACATAAAAATAAACATAGACATAGACACAGACATAGAGATAGACATAAAAATAAACATAGACATAGACACAGACATAGAGATAGACATAAAAATAAACATAGACATAGACACAGACATAGACACAGACATAAAAATAAACATTCACATAGACACAGACACAGACATAAAAATAAACACAGACATAGACATAGACATAAAAATAAAACATAGACAGAGACATAAAAATAAACATAGACATAGACACAGACATAAAAATAAAACATAGACATAGACATAAAAATAAACACAGACATAGACATAAAAATAAACACAGACATAGAGATAGACATAAAAATAAACATAGACACAGACACAGACATAAAAATAAACACAGACATAGACATAGACTTAAAAATAAAACATAGACATAGACATAAAAATAAACATAGACATAGACACAGACATAGGTATACGCTTTTGGCGTCTAGAACAGGATGGTTCTAAGTTGCAGCCCACAACATAGATAAATTTAGATATGAATGCAGACATGCATATACGCTTTGTGCCCGACGATGGAATTTAGCGTAAAACTCGAAGTAGCAACTTAGATTAGAACTGTCCTGTTCTATAAACCAAAGAAATCTAGGGCTCTGCCTATACGGCATCAAGAGTGTCATGTCAGATTGGTAAACAGTAATTTTCATTATATATGGATATAGATACCGTAACTCCTTGAAAAAGCCCGCACCCTAGAACTACAAATTTTGTCAATAAGCCCCCCCCCCATCGAAAAAGCCCCACTGCTACCATAAATCCTCGAATTGGCCCCCCTCGATTTGTTGATTGGTGCCAACTGAGGTTGCATGGTGTTTTATTGAATTGCCACAAAAATTCATACTTTTAGTAATAATAAATATTAATAGTGTTAATGATGGAATTCCTACTGAAATATACGAGGTCTTTTAATAGCTTCTTCTTGATATCTACTATAATTTTATAAGCCCCCCCCCTCCCCCCTTCGAATAACCCCCCATCTGAAAAGACCCCAGGGGGGCTAATTCGAAGATTTGCGTTAAAGATAACGACAAAGTTATAGATAAAGACAACGGTAAGCTGGCTTTCAAGTGATTTCCCATTATACCTGCACTTCCCTTATGCTCCGCAATATTCTTTGAGGCCTCATTTGATGCTGCTGTTCCTAGGAAGGATGGAGCCAAATCAACGTTTATTTACAAATAGCCAATATTCCATATTACCTACTATACCTTCTATTGTAGAAACTTAACACATTGCCCTTAAAAAATCTGTCTCCTTTTCAAGCACTTGTCCACATAAGGTACACCTTGGAAGATCAAAAGTCACAACGTTGTTTTCTGTGACTAGTAAGCTACAGCTCTCTATCTAGTATCAATGAAAAGATACAGAATGACGCCTATACAGCTAAAATGAAATTAATTTAGGAACTTTTTCGAAATATTTGCAGGCAACTTTTACAAATTTTCTCAGCAACAAAACCTTATCTTATAGCACATTCTGTTCTTCTATTACAGATTCTGTTCGGCTAGTTCTCAATTTCGATTGGCCAAAATCGATCATTTCTCAATTCAAAAACATTTTCAAATAATTGTTTTCGGGTTCAATTTTTTGAAGAGAAAATTTACATATACACCTCATATTGCCACTGAAGTAAAAAAATACTAACGACAGAATTCTAAAGGGGAATTGGATTTAATGAGATTTTTAGTTGATTACCCTGCAACGAGAGAGCTTCATTCTGAAAAAAGATAACATACCTGCAAGGTCAGCATCTAAAAAGATGGTCCTTTCGCCATGTTTTGGCTCGGTTTGGGATGTTTTCCAAGTTCCATAATGTCCAGTCTTCATTACTCCATGATCGATATCTTTTCCTCTGCAAGCTTGAATGATAAATAGCTTTGGTTTCGAGTGCAGGTCACGACATCGATTTCCGCTGAACAATCTGCGAATCTCGTGAAAAGAAAGAAGCACCCAGTCCGTACCGTCAACACCATCTTCATTACCATGGCTCAAAATGCAGCAGACAAAAGCATCATATTGGGAATGATCCAAGTTTGCAATTTCTTCTAATGTTGCTTTCATTTCAGAACCTTTTAAATCGCGATGTACTCTTACATCGAAATGCAGCCACTTAAATGTATCTGCAAGCAATTTCTCGTCATAGCCCGTGCCTTTGCGCTTTTTGCTTTCCTTCGGATCGTCAGAAGGTTTATTTAAAGATGTTCCCGATGATCCAGCTTCTGTTGTCATTGTCGACAAAAGGATGGCATTTTCAGGAGAGGGTGAAGCACATGTGTTTTCAACAGGACTTTTTTTGCCTCCTTCTAGATCGGCTTTTTCAACTCTTCCGTCCTCCTGTGTATCCTCCTGAACGTCTTCGAAATTCTCGTTTGATATTATTATGCACAGACCTCGTGGTATTCTTTCCATTTTAAACGGTGGCTTCTTTTTCTTTTGTCCTGGTATTGATTTGAAATCCGAAGGCTTCTCCAAACGATAGCTTGCAGGATTGGTCACTGTGAGAATAAGAATAACACAGATAAAAAGCGATCCTACATATTTATAGCTATCTCTCTTTTAATGCCACGGCGTTTATATTTACACTGAGAATATATTCACGTTATACTTATCATCGCATCTTCCAATTTAAATATCAAATCATGTCAATGCAACCCTAAAAATATTGATGGAAATAAACCAGTTGATGTTATAATGTTCTCATTTCTTGAGCATCATAACCAATTTCATCTTTGTTCTATTCCTAATCATCTCTATTTAACTTAAGACTACATGATAATCCCATACTTATTTAACCCTTATACTATACTTTTTCAAATACTCAGAAATCGTTCAGCGAAAAATTAGTGCCAAAGGACTGGAACTATTAGCAAATTAGCTCGTCATTGGCAAAAATGAAATTTTAAGAAAATAATAATGAGATAATAGTCAGATTTTCAACTGAAACTACCGGTATTCACATTGAAAAAATGTATGTA